CAGCATTTAGCAACTATTTTACATTGGTATTCTGGGAGTGAGACCCTTCCCTGGTCAGGCTGACCCATTTTTGCTATAACTATAATATAGCTGCATGCAAAATAACTCTCCATGAATAAAACTTTTATTATTTTACTTTTATTATTGCCGTGTAGTGGCGGTTGAGAATATCCATTACCCCATATCTTCCCGTGGGTGTCGTAAAAGGCGACAGAGGGAGACAGGCAGGAGATGGGCAGCAGCATCTTCCTGACAACAGCAACTGTGACGTAATAAAAAACTGCGGTTGCCAACCCGCTCGCCAAGCGTGGCAACTATGGCAAATACCCCCCAATGAATAAATACACAAACAGACGGCCCCCAGTCCCCGGCGGCCCCGCTATTCCTGGCTACGGTGGCGACCTTGGTAACGGCGGGGCAGGGGGTGCTAAGAATCTCCGGTGGAGGTTCGGTTGCCACCTACGACGACTCGACCTGGCAACATATAACGCACGCACCCTGAGGACTGACGAGAAGATACTAGAGCTGGAAGAAGAGGTAGACAAGTTGCGATGGCATATTATTGGATTATCCGAGGTCCGAAGAGAGGGGGAGGACACGGCAATCCTCGAGTCCGGCAACTTGTTCTATCACCGGGAGGGCGACCATCTGTCCCAAGGAGGTGTCGGATTTATCGTCCACAAGTCTCTCGTCAACAACGTTGTAAAGATTGGGAGTGTGTCGACGAGGGTCGCGTACCTGATACTCAGAATCACCAAACGGTATTCGCTGAAGGTCATTCAGGTTTACGCACCAACCTCGGCACATCCCGATGAGGAGGTGGAGGAAATGTATGAGGATATTTCCAGAGCCATACATTCCTCCAAAACCCACTACACGGTGTTGATGGGAGACTTCAACGCAAAACTAGGCACAAGAGAAAGCGGTGAGCTGAAGGTAGGGAAATTTGGAGTAGGGCAACGGAACCGAAGGGGCCAGCAGCTGGCCGACTTATTGGAGAAAGAGGGACTCTTTATGATGAACTCTTTCTTCCAGAAGCGGCCCCACAGGAAGTGGACCTGGTCGAGCCCCGACGGTTCGACAAAAAATGAGATTGACTTCATTATGACGACCAGACGCCAACTGTTCAGTGATGTCTCAGTGATCGCAAGGGTGAAAACTGGCAGCGATCACCGAATGGTTAGAGGCACACTGAACCTAAACGTTAAGTTGGAGAGGTCTCGTCTAATGAAGTCAACGCTCCGTCCCCCTCGTGCTCTAATCCAGAATCCCGAAACCTTTCAGCTCGAGTTACGTAACCGCTTCCAGTGCCTAGAAGATTGCAATGCAGTGGACGACATGAACGACAAGCTCGTGGAAACTGTCCATGCGGTCGGAGCTAAGTTCTGCAAGACCCGCCGCAGAAGAACACAAAAACTCTCCGATCACACTCTTAATCTCATGGCTGTTAGACGGGAGATGAGGCTGCAATCGTCAACAGATTTGACAGCATACAGGCAACTGAACAGACAGATCTCCAAATGCATGCGGCGAGACTTACGCAACTTTAATACTTCTCGTATTAAAGAAGCGATCGAGCGGAACCAGGGCTCCAAAGTCTTTGCCAGAGATCTGTCTGCCAGAAAGAGCCAACTGTCAAAGCTGAAGACTGAGTGTGGCAACATCGTTTCCGGGACACCTGAGATTTTGAGTGAGATTGAGAGGTTCTATGGGCAGCTGTACACATCATCGTTGGAGCCACACGTAAGTGTGAGTAACGATCCAAGAGCAAGTCTTATCCGACACTATTCCGATGATATCCCGGACGTCAGTCTGAGCGAGATTAGAATGGCTCTCCACCACCTTAAAAACGGCAAGGCCTCGGGCGAGGATGGAATTACAGCGGAGCTTCTGAAAGCGGGTGGAAAACCGGTACTTGAAGTCCTTCGGAAGCTCTTCAATTCCGTCCTCCATGGTGGCACTACTCCGGAGGCGTGGAGCAGAAGCGCGGTGGTTTTGTTCTTTAAGAAAGGCGACAACGCTCTCTTGAAGAACTACAGACCGATTTCCCTCTGAGCGCGTCTACATGCTATTTTCGAGAGTCATTACGAATCGTCTCGCACGCAGACTCGACGACTTCCAGCCTCCCGAACAAGCCGGTTTCCGAAAAGGCTTCAGTACCATAGACCACATACATACCCTGCGGCAGATTGTACAGAAGACCGAAGAGTACAATCTGCCACTTTGTCTGGCATATGTGGACTATGAGAAAGCCTTTGATTCCGTCGAAATTTGGGCGGTGCTACAGTCCCTTCAGCGGTGCCAAGTTGACTGTCGGTACATCGAAGTGCTGAAGTGTTTGTACAGTAGGGCTACGATGGCTATCCGAGTACAGAACCAGAGTTCGAAACCTATCCAACTGCAGAGAGGTGTAAGACAGGGTGATGTTATATCCCCGAAACTCTTCACCACTGCGTTGGAAGACGTTTTCAAGCTACTGGACTGGAAAGGATACGGTATTAACATCAATGGCGAGTACATCACTCACCTTCGATTTGCCGACGATATAGTCATTATGGCAGAATCGCTGGAGGACTTAAGCATTATGCTCAATGACCTCAATAGTGCCTCCCAACGGATAGGTCTTAAGATGAACATGGACAAAACAAAGATCATGTTTAATGTCCATGTCACACCTATGCCGGTAGTTGTTGGGAGCACTATGCTCGAAGTTGTTGACGAGTACGTTTACCTGGGACAAATAGTCCGACTAGGTAAGTCCAACTTCGACCGAGAGGTCAATCGACGGATTCAACTCGGCTGGGCAGCGTTCGGGAAATTACGACATATCTTTTCGTCAGGTATACCTCAATCTCTAAAAACTAGATTGTACAACCAGTGCGTGTTGCCAGTGATGACTTACGGATCTGAGACGTGGTCCTTCACTGCTGGCCGTATGAGGACGCTTAAGGTCGCTCAGCGAGCTATGGAGAGGGCCATGCTTGGAGTTTCTCTGCGTGATAGACTCAGAAATGAGGATATCCGCAGTAAAACCAGAGTGATCGACATAGCCCAACGGATTAGTAAGCTGAAGTGGTAATGGGCCGGCCACATAGCTCGAAGAACCGATAACCGAGGGGGAAAAAAGGTTCTCGAGTGGCAGCCTCGTACCGGTAGGCGTAGTGTAGGGCGACCCCCCACTAGATGGAGTGACGACCTGGTAAGACATGCAGGAAGTCGATGGATGCAGGTGGCTCAGGACCGTGCTTTGTGGCATTCCTTGGGGGAGGCCTATGTTCAGCAGTGGACTTGTGAAGGGCTGTAATGATGATGATGATGATGATGAATAAAACTTTATTATGTTACCACCACAAGGCATATCACTAAGTTTTAAGTAATGTTGGGTTGAGTTTGAAAGTAAGCCGCCTGAATTTGAGGCTTTTGTCAAGGGGTTTATCTGAAGCACTTGCATGTGATTGTTGCTACCGGAACAGCGTCGAAGTATTTTTAATTATTTTTTACAAATCTTGGTAAATCACAAACTAAACATGAAATGAAACATACATTTAACTAAATTCTAACGTTTTTGATATTACATCTATCAAAGTCATCTCAAAATGCGAAAAATGAATCTCCAGGCCGGCCATTTTGTTGACAGTGACAGATATACTTTACATCATTCCGTTGCTTCCGAGTTTACGTGAATGAGCTCCCTAATGTTTTAACTGCTCTCATCTGTTTTTCAACAACTACGCTACCCCTCTGGATCCTTTTTTACAAATAGTGTCCCCACCACCCACTGATTCGGGCACCTTACTATCAAACCTTACCAGTAATGTATAGTGAAAATAATTTTAGATTACTTAGAGAAGTCACGACAAGTTAATCACCCACTTATTAGCATTTTGATGTTTAATTGAATAGATATTAAACACCACACTCTAAGTATTGACTGATATTGTTATTAAGTTTAGTAATTTATGAGTATAATTATTACTTTCATGTAAAGAAATAAGTTTGACAAAAATAAAATTAGAATGTATGTATTAGTATATAAAAATTTATCTGACCTGTATTAAGAGAACAGTATATTTGTTGGCTAGTGGTTATTATAAAAACTAATAATTTTATAACAACATTTTTTTTTTCATTTTTGTCTAGCTAGTATGTACTCCAGGTCAGATGTGTTTCTGAACCAGTGGTTATGGAGGAGATGATTTTCAAAAATTTATTTATTTATTCAATATTCAATAATATATAATATGTGTTATTTATAGTCTATGTTATATACATTTTATTCCATTCTATTGCAATACATTATCCTTGTAAAACCTATTGGCTACATTTAAAACACACACATATAAAAAGGCTTTTTTTCATTATGATAACTGGTTCTTTTTAATTATACCTAACTTTTTAGTACCACCACAAAATTTGAAGCTTAGTAAATCAATTTTAAAGTATTACGTTTGTAAAGTATTTTTAGGTAATTCATGTTGGAGAAAACTCAATTTAAATAAGGGAAAATGTTTTAGAGTGTAGATAATACAATCATTTTAAGGATAAAATTGAAGTGATATATTTTATTCAACAAAGATTATTACATAATAGTATTTAAAACATCTAGCAAGAAAATCAGAAGAAATATAGTAATTATTAACATAATTAATACTATATTACATTTTTTAAAGAGGCACTAACTAGTAGTAAACTGGGTTACATGAATACTTTATCTTTTATCACAGGCTATGAAATGATACAACAACAAAAAGAAATAAATAATAATTTTGTGCCAAACTTGGTATGTTTTAGGTACTTGATCATTTAAATGCTAAAAATCCATTTCTTTCGTGTTGTAAATAAATATTGCACATAATTCAGAAAATTCGGTCGTGCAAAATAAACATTTTACTCAATTACAATAAATTAAAAATTATAAATTCATCTCAATACGTATTTTCCTCAATATATAAAACAAACGCGAAACCTACAACTATTAAGTACTTTGAGGTAATACTCACGGCCATCACCATTTCAAATGGATATTTATGAACCCTGACAGGAGAAACATATTCCTGCACCATGATTGCGATTTCACTAAACTGGAGGTCTTATTTGGAAACGGGATTCAAAGATCCTTCACACGATATTATTTACACGACAGTCATTCTGTTCATAGAAAACCCGTGTGCCTTTTGTCTCAATAAAGCAACGTCCTCTCACTCCCGACAACACATCATGACAATTGATTGACAACAAAATAAACGAAACAGACGTCAAAACTTCACAAGTCACAAAAATCAGATCTTATGTACTTGTACTCAAAGTAGGGATACTCACATATCATCGATATATCGAATTTATTCGTGTTTTCCGTACGATATATCGGATTGTTGTAATTGTAATATTTATTGTATTCGATGTGTTGATATATTTATTTATAGAAACATCGAATATTTGTTTTTTTTTTTACAATAATTTGAACTCTACCTGATGACTTCAATTTTAAATAAGGTTCATTATGATAGTGACTTCTGTGAGTGACCAACTTAACTACCTAATCTATCCTGAGGGATCGATCGAGAATTCACTCTCAATGTATGTAGTCTATGGATTCTATGGGTTCATTATATTTACGTTTACTCACTCACACTCTTCTTGCGTTGTTTTCTGCTGTTTAAATCACTATTTTGATTGGTTATTTAACACAAGTTTATGTAAGACTTTTACTAGCTAATACAATTAATTACTCTAAAATAACTGAGTTGACGCATCATCTGATTGCTAGTTTGAAGTTGAGAAGGTATGTAATATGTATATTTGTAATTTTATACTTTTAACCAAATTAACTCAATAATGACGTGACACTAAAGAGACAAAATAAAATTATAGAAAAAAATCATTAATTGATTTGTTCTTTTTTTAATTTACGAGGGGCACACTGAAATGATCGGAAATAGAAAATTTCGAATCAAGTTATAATCAAACCTTTTTGAGAATTTGTATACTGGCCTCTTAGAATCTTAATGACATTCAAACAATTTAAAAAAATGTTTAAAAACAAAAACTATTTTTGTTTAAAGTTGACACGTTGTTAACAGAAATGGAGCTCACCCGTGAACATTTCCGTGCCATAATTTATCACAATTTTCGTCGCGGCTTATCTCAAGATAAATGTCTCAGCGAAGTTGTTTCAATTTATGATGTTGAAGCACCGAGTCAAACGACAATATACCGCTGGTATGTCGAGTTTCAAGGCGGTCGTGTGTCGCTCAGCACTGTTTCTTCTGCAGATCGACAAAGAACAGGGTCACGCATGAAAACATCGCAGCTGTGCGAACTATTACATTAGATGACCGTCATATGACATACGAAAAGATTCAGGCTGTTATCAGTATCGGAATAACTGCAATTCAGTCGATATTACATAATGAGCAGTGTGAGAAAGCTGGTTTTCCACTGGGTTCCCCACAATTTGTCTGAAGAGCAAAAGGCGGCTCGTGTAGATTGGTGCCGTAATACTCTGCAACGCTTCAACGGAGGGAAGTCAAATGCCGTTTATAATATCGCCTCAGGTGACGGATCATGGATTTATTCATACGAACCTGAAAGAAAACATCAGTCAGCAGTTTGGATCTTCAAAGATGAGGTCAAACCAACGAAAGTGGTTCGCTGCCGCAGCGTGTCAAAGAAAATGGTCGCTACGTTTGTCTGGAAAAAGGGGCATGTTGTTAAAATTCCTTTACAGGAACGCAGAACAGTTACCGCTGAGTGGTATATCACGATTTGTTTGTCAGAAATGGTAGTCAAACTCCGAAAAAATAACCCGAAACGTCGCATCATCTTACATCACGATAATGCGAGCTCCCATATGGCTCGGAAGACAAATGATTTTTTGAAACAGGAAAACGTTTTGAGCTGATGGGCCATCCTCCGAACAGTCCTGACCAGAGCCCAAACGATTTCTTTACATTCCCTAGAATGAAAGATTTATTACTCGGTCAACGGTTTGAATACCCCGAAGCAGGTGTGGAAGCATACAAATCAGCCATTTTGTCAACATCAACTGCAGACTGGAATTACTGTTTTATTGATTGGTTTGCACGAATGGAAAAGTGCATTAAGTTGAACGGAGAATACTTCGAAAAACAATAAAATACAATTTAGCTATACAGTGCATGTGGTTTTTCTTATTCCTGATTATGTCAGTGTGCCCCTCGTATTACAATATGGCGAATCGAAAGAAAAGTCATGTATGGAAGGTTTTTACGAAAATTGAGGGAAATAAAAAGTTTGTTAAATGCAAAATATGCTGCTATGTTACTCTGGTCTCTGATTCTACATTCTCACACAAAATCAAGAACCACAAATTTAGCACATTTCACTGGAAAAAGCTAATATAATAACCTTTGTGGAAAGTATACGATAGTGAAAAAATATCGACATTTTCTAGCGATATATCGATGCTGAAATCAAACGTTTTACATCGAATATAAATATCGATATATTTTAAGTGAACACCCCTAACTCAAAGAATATAAATTCTTTTTCTCTATGGAAAACGAGACAAAAACGAATCGATGACAAAAACCACAGACATCACAAAACTTGTTTAAATGATGACTAAGCTTGATATGCTGTCTGTGCTAGGAACTTATGTTTAGTGTGAAGTTGGTTGGAAAAGGAAAACGTTTCAATCGTTTTGTAGTATCATAAATCGATTAACAGTCAGAATCTCAATCTTAGGATATGATATCTTTGCAATGTCTGTTGCTCTGTAAAATTTATATGTCAATTTGTCAAAATCTGACATTTCTTAGTCACCTCAAAAGGATAAACAAATAACTTTCAACTAAAAATAAAAACCGGCTTCAAGCAACTAAAAATAATAAAAGAACGGGACATACCTACCAACACTGGTATATATTTACTTTAAAGGCTGTCCCAACAACTCACCCATGTAATATAATAGGTAGTAATTTTCCAATTGGAAAATTAAAAATTTTTTTTATTTATCTTGACGAATAATTTTTTTACTTATCTTGCAATAGTTTTTTTTTTTATTTTTCATAGTTCTTCAAAATGCCTCCGACTCTCTTAAAACACCAACGCGTTAGTTTGGAATTAGCTCTCTAGATTAATTTATTCGAATAGAAAAAGAGGAGTTGCTGGGTGAAAAATGGCTCCAAAAAGAGACAAAAATTAAGCCACATAAACGTACTAAATGGTTTGTAATACAAAGACATGATTAATTTTCTCCGGATGAATGAAGACAGTTTTTACAACCTTCTAGAATTTTTTCTATATTTATGATTTCGCAACTTATATAAAAACATCAATTTCTCCTACCTATGCTATTTAGTTATTTCTTCTGTTCGTTCATTTCTGCTTTGGTCAAAATCGGGTTATGTACTACACACAACAAACAAAGAAATAAAATACTTTTGTATAATAATATGTATAATTTTTTAATGTAATCTTTATTTATGGATTAAAACTATCAAAAAATAAAATAGCTTATATCTTTTTTTAACATAAAGAAACCTTTAATTTCGGACATACTCTCTCCTAAATAGCTTGTTTGTTGCTGAGGAGATGGTGAAGGAGTAGGAGTTAGTTGTTGATGAGAGGATGAAGGCACGTAAGAGATCTGAGTGCGGTCTTGTCTTGTTGATAGCGTGGGAATAGGAGTTAGTTGTTGAGGAGAGGCTTCATCCTCTCCTTACTTAGTTCATACTGCATACTTTATGAACGGCAATATTAGTAGGCATTCTTGACTTCGCAAGGTCACAGGCTAGGGTGGATATGATTTGAATTTCGATAGATTTTAGTTAATTTATTTATTCAATTTTTTTTTTGTTTTTTGTAAAATATCAGCGCCATATGCTTCTACTCCGTTCATATGCTTAAAATGTAAAAAATTTGTTATGTAAAAAAGGTCATTCAGTATCACTGTTTCGTTAACGTCCTTCCGCGAGGGCTGCCGGCAGCGACTGCCAAAAGTAATCGGGCCGATGCGCCTACACACACGCAGTACGGAGAGGGCGGGGCCCCGATCTAGGAAGCATCGGCTGCATTTTTGCTCCTGCCAGCCGATTAAGGAGGCGATATCGGCCACGACTTAGGATGGCCCTACATACGACACGATTTAGAGGCATTCTAGGAGGCATCCCCACTACTCCACCGTAGATAGCCACCGATATCATGTCGTATGTAGCCCGCTTAAATAAGTTTGTAGCCACAGACTAACTACAAATGTTACTTTTTATATAGGATAAGGGTGACAAACGAGCACACAGTCCACCTAATGGTACATTCGATTAAGAATCAAAATGCAGATGCGTTGTCACCCCTGAGGACTAAGATGGAATGCCTCAATCGCAGTAAAACGGGTCTCCGATACATTCACCATATGAAACACAGCAGCATAAAGTTGCTATTTTACGCTGGTTTTCTGTGAGAGTATGGTCTTTCCCCGGTCGAGCCGACACATTCATGCTACAACCAAAGTATAGCTGCAGCGTGGCTCTATCACGTAAAAAAAAACGACGGAGTGCCGGGAGAAGTGAAAACTTGAACATTAACGTTGTGTATTTTTAATATTTTGGAATGGTTAGGGAATAATTTTGCTCGAATTGCTTTGATAATCAGATAATGGTAGAATATAATATTTCTTTATTGTGCTATCGTAAACAAACATGACAATTTATATTACACTCGCGCAAGCGCCCTGCGCCGCCTAAACGAAACAGCAGGCGCAGGAACACATTTTCGCCGCACTGTAGAAAGGGAAGGGGATACTTCCTCTCCTACTCTCTATCCGTCTTACGAATTTTCGATCAGGTCACGTGTCCTGACGCGAGTTTTACATTTTTTAGCCAATACAAAAAAAATGTACAACGCCGCTAAAGAAGTTTTCACTTCAAAAAAATTTTAAATGCTAAACCATTTAATATTTGTAGTTCTTGATTGAGGATTGAGTTCTTGGTTGCGGACTATAATATATTTATTTATCTATGGTTGAGGATGAGGTGGGTATTTGAGGAAGTTGTTATATCTCCCTCAAACGCTCCAAATAAATAAT